AGAACCACGCGCGCAGCAGGGCCCGCCTGGGCATCCCGTACATGCAACACAACTGCTTATGCACTCATTCGAGCCACGCGTTCCAGCCGTCACACGGCTGGCCCTGCCACGCCCGCGCTGCCCCTCTGTACTCGTCCGCATATCTTATGGGACGCGACACGCACCTCCTGCACGGCGACGACCGGCCGCAAGCGCAGAGCAATGTGCAGGTGGAGACCACCGCACCTTCGTTTAACCTCGCAGAACCACGCGTCCAGCAGGGCTCTGCTGACCATGCCGCGCATGCAGCACAATCGCGTATGCACGCATTCCTGCAACGCTTTGCAACAGTCACACGGCTGGCCCTGCCACGCCCGCGCTGCCCCTCAACAAGCTTATGCCCGCCACGCGCATCGCTACCACAGCTTCGCGCTCTGCTGCCGCAAGTGCCACTCCTTCTCCCTGTTGTTGCTTCGGCGCAGCCGCAAACGCCAAGGCACACAACTAGACGCGCATGGGATGTACTCATCCGCCTCTGTTCTGGGAAGTGACACGCACCGGCTGCACGTTGACGACGGACCGCAAGCGCAGAGCAATGTGCAGGTGGAAAGCAGCACGCCATTTCTCAGCCTTGTAGAACTGCGCCTGCTTCAGGGCCTCGCTGAGCATGCTGTGCATGCAACACAATCACGTATGCATGCATTCCAGCCACGCGTTCCAGACGTCACAGGGCTGAAACTGCCCCGCCGACGCCACCCCTTAACAAACGTATGCCTGTCACGCGCTTTCCCCCACAGCGCCGCGCTCGGCTGCCGCAAGTGCCACTCCTCCTGCCTGTTATTGGTTCAGCGAAGACGCAATCGCTGACTCACAGGGCACACACCGGCACAGACTGCAAAAGACCTTCGCCACACTCCAGAAAGAAATCCCTTCCCAGCGCATTTGCAGGCGCTGCCACAACCAGCGTGCAGGCACCGTGACCAGTGAACGTGTTTAGCAGACAATCATCCACGGGATGCACCGATATACGCGAGTGCGTGCAAGTTACCGCACATGCGGCGTACTCGTCCACAGTTCTTACGGGGCCCGAAACGCACCTGCTGCACAACAGCATTGCTTAGCACCACGTGGATTTCACTGTCGTCTTGAAGCCACAGCAATTGACTCCTGTGGACTCACTACGACGAGGACATCCCCCCATGAAGCTGCACCAATGCGCGCCGCAACACTCACTACGACTTGAAGAGACGCTGCCGTCTCAGAGCTACTCTGTTACCCACGCGATGCGCCTTTTCCTCTGGCCGTTCAATCAACATCTGCAGTGTAAACCAACTCACATGTGAATCGCGACGACCCTTTTCTCGCCAGTCGGACTGCTACTACCGCAGCTCTTTGTATCGTAAATAATCATATCTTGTGTGAAACCAAGGCATCTTCACCCCCACCACAGTTCTCGTCTCCCGCCAGACACTCCGTTTCCCCCAAGGCTGCAGGTACACGCCTGGCCCTACTACTATTTGATTTGTCTAATGCGTGCTACGCACTGTCTGGAAAAGCAATAATATGCCAGTGTCCATCGATCGGTTTGGTTCGGAAAATCTGAAAAATGACCTGCCAGGGTGACAACCACAAGTCACATACCATATCGTGGGCAGTGCATAGAACTGTCCAGGCCTCAGGCTAGCAAACAATTCTCCACGCAGGGCAGTAATGTCGATCTACTGAGACCATGCAGGTTCTGCGGACACGCCTGCACTCACGATAACCGTAAAATACTCAGATGACATAATGGTGCAGCTTTCATTCCGTTCAGCCGAAGACTCGCTACCACTCGATCCGCTATCCCTCACAATACACAGCACTCACCAGAAGACACATCCGAAAACAATGCATTCCCCGAAATGTCGGCCGGCCGCTGGTGCGTCATGTGCCATGACGTTAACCTTTGCTCTAGCCCTTATCATCGATTCCACCTAAATATTGCTCAATATTGTTCAAGGTATTCGGCAGGAGAAGATATTGCACACGCCCTCAGCGGACCTGCTGCTGGCATATTCAGAAGACGCCCGGTCTGGCGCCCTTATCAAAAGTACAAACACAGAAGGATCTAAAAACAGCACATCTGCTAGTCAACAACCTGCCACATCCTGGCATCGTAAGCCGCACTTCCACTCTTTAACACCTGCAATACGCGCGAACGTGACACCAAAAGCAGCAGAACATGCCACCTATTTTCCTGTGGTTCACCACATGCCCAGTGCCTCGACACAAAACAAAGCCATGCGGCATTCTCCCTGCGGGCCTCAAGTGCCTAGTCACGTGTACGTCAGCCCTCCACTAAGGCGCTGATATATGCTTGTACCAGCGTGCCATTGTCGAAGCCGTCCTTGCAACACCATCACACAAACCCCATCGCATTCTGCACTTTCCTGCGCTTCGATGAATGCACAGTCCTTCTCACCTAAAACCTGTCCAACAGAAGAGAAGCATCCGATGCGAACGACTGCTAGCGTGGCCCTTTACTGACTGCACTTGTTAACTGAGCGTTTTCCCCCCATTTTGCTCACCACAAGCGACATTCCCTACTCGTTAGGAAGAAAATATCTGTTGGCTGTCGCGGTCCGCAAGCCACAGCAACGTGCAGGGACGTACCGCTAGACCCTCTGCGCCCGTCTCTGACGTGAAACACAAGTAACGCACTCGCTGCCCCTACGCGTTATACCACAATATGACAAACAACAACGGATTTTAACGCGCACCAGAATGTGCGATTGAACCAATACGCTTAAGAGCGTTGAATGCCGCCGGCGCATGCACTTCACTCCACGCAGATCGCCGATGCTATTCTGGAAGCGCCAGCAGAACTTCCGCAACATTATGTATACCACAGCGACCATCGCGAGGACACTAAAATATCCCAGCCCATAATGACCAAGCCTGCTCCTGAACGTATTTTGCCTCACAAATAAATGCAGGCATAACTAGAGAACAGAAACAGGACTGCCATCAGCAGGGTACCTGCGGGCGGCATAACGCGTCGCCTGTCATCTTCCGGGCTGCATGCGGCAATGTCATTTCACAAAATATAATAAGCGTCGTCACATGTTGTGCGCAACATGACCCCCGTATGCACTTTATCAATAATGCATCAGCCAGCAGCAAATGCCAGCCAGACAACGCGGCCAACGTCCTGCGCAGGGCCTAGCGCACTCTCTGTCGGCTCACCCAGTAGCTGTAGTCATTAACATGCTGTACACGGAGCATGTCACCATTTTACGCCGGCGGGTAGCAACCAGAGCACGTCCACTTTATAGCTTTGTCAAGTGCAGCCTAGGGTGTGGACCGATTTTGGCCGGCAACAGTTCTGTGCCACACATCACGCAAAAATGTATCTCAAGGCGCCGATGGCTTCGCCACGTCTCGTCTCACAAACAACCATGCGCGTTCGACGAAACTATCCAACGGAAGAATGCCCAACGCACTGCAGCACACGTTCAGACTACCGCCTTCGTGTACGCCTCAAGCCAAAGCGAGAGGGCTCTTACTTACACTATCTGCAGGTCAATGCGTGCATGCATGCCCGCTGATTTAAGCGAGCTGCAACATCCGTCTGACGGTGTCATTCCACGATCAAGCCTGCAGCAAGACAATCCAAGACAACGTCCAGTCACACCAGAATATAACGGGCATCTACGCCGGCCATTCAAGGTACGCAGCAC